TCGGTTGGTGTATTATTATAATATATTATTYTCATCCGTCTGACAAAGCGCCTGCAGTTAACATCGCGTTGAGATACAGGGTATCGCGTGCGGGATGCCCCTTAGGCCTTGAAGCATATAATAACACACACTCGCGCCCATAACATATTTATTGGCTGCAAAGACAATAGTTTTACCGTGGTAGAGTAATGCGCAGCTTCCTCAAAATTATATACCCCTATATTATATCATAGCAAATTTAGCATTGTAATATATTAATAATGACATAACGCTAGACATATTATGCATCCTTATACCTCATTTAAGTAGGTACCTTCGTACGTTTGTAACCTTTTTCGCGTAGTGTATCGATGATTAATAAAATTTGTAATGTAGTTCAAATCGCGTTCGTATATTAATATATTATATACAGTAGGTATGATGTAATATACTAGGCGAGTTAATTAAATAACAATAATTTTCAACCATGTATTTTTATTTATATAAATTTATCGTCTTTATTCATTATTTTTCAAACGACATTCAAAAACRATTTAGAAAAACACTCTTAATTTCTTTAGTCTATAAGACAAACAGCATAATATTAAAATGAATGAAAGAAAATTATTGATACGTAATATAAACCATTTTTTTAATCATGACCCTTACAGCTTATCATTTTTAACAAAAAAAATTTTAAAACTTCATCCTAAAGTTTTTATGCATACACGTCATATATACCATTATTATAATATCTATACATGGGATCCACTCTGTGAAAGTCAACCATGTAGATTCAACAAAAACTGTACCTATAGGCTATAATATTATATTATGCTGCATTGATGACTRGCTTGACCCTTATTCGTTTGACGACCTCTGTCGCAGGCTGGTATTATACTCATCACATTTTAACATATATCTTATAATTTTATATACACAAGATAACACGTTTTCTAAGGAACATATACAGTAGGTAGGATAGGCCGCGKTGGTATATAGGAGATGTTGGAATATGGATATATATTTAAAATATGCGTAATATGTTACCGTAAGTATATAGCCAAAGGCCGACGAAGAAAGGAATGATCGCGGCCTACACGCTCTTATTTAAATTATCCATCGAGAATGCGTGATGAGATGTGTGCGTATATTATATCGGAAATTTCTAATTTTRTTATTGTGCAGTATATATCTGTGTGCACTTGTGTACCTTCATATACATATTATAAACTCATACGTCTCGAGACGACGTGTACTCGCCTAATGCAATGTACGACAACGACGATGTAACAAGACAACGTGTGCAACGGGAAATTACGTCCATTTCCTGTGTCTTAGCCCCCATGAAAAACCGACTATACACATGCACCCGTTTAGCGTTTCCAATTTGTGATCCTTATATGTAATATATATATATATATACATATTTTACGAGTATAAATAATCTCTATTCGCTTGCGCGTGGTATAAATCGGACCCGCGGCGGCGACCGTTTTGTTATTGGATTACGAAAATTGATTACGGATTTTCGTAAATTATTATTATTATTATTATTATTACTATTATTGCAATAAAATGTTCTTCATATGTATTTGGCGGTCCCAATTAAGGAACGTTATTACGTTCAAATGATGGTTAGATATATATAATAATAATAATAATATTATAATCTGTGAGTGAGTATGATGAAAAATAAGTCTGCTGATTATAATGCGGGAGTAATTTAATATGTTATTATTATACATACATTATAATACATTGATCGCGGTTATTGCTGATTCCATTTGCCTGGCTTATACAAGCAGACTGCCATTAATCGATGTACCTACCTACCTAACATAATATATTATTCTACAATGTATATACAATATACATAAATAATAAATAATTATATTTTTTTAAACCTGTAATGTTTTTTTTTTAAACTTTTTGATTGATTAAATTAACTATTATAATAACTATTATATATACCTATTATAAAACATTATTAGTTGGTAGTGGAATATAACGATACGTATATTATAATATTATCTGGTTAGGTAAACCTCTGGTCTCTGGTCTGGTAAATACCTTACCATCTTTTTAACAATAATCAATGAGACGCATTGAAGGGAAGTTTAGGAAAAAAAATCTTTGTATTACCTGTTATACGTTTAATCTCAATTGTGTGTGTGACATTTAACAAAGAAAAACCATATGTCTAAACCACAATTCACTGTACATTATTACACGCGTGCGCAAGTGTGTGTGTGTGTGCGTGTGCGTGTTTAATACAATAATAAGAAATTATAACTATTAAAAAATCGGGGGCCATTGGAAACAAAAGTGTGATGTGTGATATAGTTTAGCAGAAGGCGGCGTGTATAGGTCGCGAGCGAAAAGTGTTGACCATTGTCAGCGAGRAACAATACGGATTAATTGCCGATTTCAAAAAAGTATTTTTCCAAAGAAATTCAATATTATTCGTATTCCTTACGTTTACAAGTTATTAATCAAGCTTAATWATTTTTGATGTCTATTGTATCATAATAATATTATTACGCGCATAATCGTTTAACTACAAATAATAATTTATAAATAGTATTAATATTGTGTTAAAAGAGCAACGAGGTTTCTTTGGAACTCTATGTACATAATATACACAACATTACTGTGTTGTATGTGTCTACACACGAGTGAGCGAGTTGAGTGTGCGTGAAAGAGAAAAAGAGAAACAGTGAGTGAGAGTGAGGCGGAGAGTCAGTGCGAGAAGGATTAAAAAAAAATTTAAGTTACAAGGTGTGAGGGTCATCGTTTATTATTATAATAATTTTTTTTTATGTACAAAAATAATCGTCAATAAATTCAATAAAAAAATAACAATGATTGATACTCTCGTATATATATATTAAATATACATATATTGGCRCTTTATCTCTTTCAATTGGTGTTTTGTTAGATTCAAGTCCGGCTTATAATATATTATGTTATCGGGCCATTGCTTGAACTGATAACCTCTGAAAAAAAATGTACAGCATATATATACAGCAGTATAGACACATGCATAATATTATGCGTGTATGCATGTGTGTGATACTGTTTTATTTTATAGGTCGCGTATATTATTACCYAAGTATATAATTTTTTCAGCAGTTTTTGTTAATATGACAACAGAACGTTGTTTTAATTTKCCATCGCGTCGCCGCAGTTATAATGGTCACGGGTGTGTTTTGAATATTAAATTATTATTATACATACGTTGACGCAAATTTGTAAGATCGTCACAGAACAGCCGATATTTTCATGCGTSTCGTGCCAATTAAAAAGTTGTTGAGATTTCGCGAATCCAATGATGGATTATAATTATTTATTTTTACCGATTTTATATTAGGACGTTTAAATAAAAATCTTTACAAGCGTCCAGCTCGTATATAATATGCGTGGAACACATTTAAATAATTAAATGTATATTATCGGATTGTATATCTTATTTTTATTCGACTCGATGGTGTAACGTCAATCATGATAAAAGATCGTCGTCTACGTAGATTTAATTTAAAATACACACGCATATATATATATTGCATATATATACAAAGCTGTATCTTTTCCCTTTAAATTGTCTTTAAATATTCGTATTTTTAGTGTAATTACACATAAATAAATATACATACCTGCATAGAATTTTTGACCTCTAACGCGATCGTTACGCGTAACCTTCTCCTTTGACTCTGAAATACGTTTTCATTTCGTTCGCGTGCGGCACATACAAATACAGCTACAGATTGTAACACAATTCAAATTGAAATGTCGTTTGAAAAATTAATAATAATATTAATAATAAAATACTTCTCGACTATGGTAGTGTAACATATACATATATRTGAATGTGAGTGAGACTTCAGAGAAAGAGAGAGAGARAATATATTCAATTCGTTCGCGTCATCGAACCGTTTCAAGAATACCACGTGAAAATGTAAAAAAATCGATTGTCTTATATGATAAATCAAATAAAAAGTGTTTGTTCGTGATAAATTGAAGAGGCGCGCTYGAAAAGCGGATTTTATTGTTCTTGCGATTTTTTTCACATTATTTCGAGTTCTTCAGAAAATCGTTTTAATAAATACATGCATTATTGTCTGCTTGCAAAGGAAATAGCACGTGCACTATTTTTTTTTTTTAATGAACTATTCAACTCTGGATCAGTGTGAGCTGCACGCGACAAATACGATATTGTTATGGCGTGCGTATATTATAATAATATCTTATACATATAATATGGATATGGATGACACCTCCCACGAATATTTTATGTTTTTTTTCACGTTTACGYGCAAACGTCTACCACGCGCTTCATAATAATATATTGTACTTGTCACGGTAAAATTGTGCTGAGTGACACACAATGTTTATAATAAKACTAGTATATATAATATAACAATGCAATGATATAAATTGTTGCCCGCGCGTGCRTTTAACCGGATCCGGCAGATTTCCTTCAAAACTGACCTCTTACAACAATAATGCATTATAATATAATAAAGTCAACAGCACGACGGGAAGGCTTAAGAGGACTGCARAATGTGACATAAATCTATAYTAAACGGTATCTGGTCAAAGTATTTGAGCCTCTATTCGACGCTTTTATGATTGTCGGACTATAAAAATAAACACTGTTTCGTCCCTAAACATACAATAATAAGAACAGAAATCAATTTCATATTATAACCATACGGAGATGATGAATATAATACATTATATTATATTCAATACAACCCACCCTATATTATGTCTTTAAGTTATGCATTATTTTCTCTGATATTAAAGCCTCCAAAAACATTATACGATATTTATATATATATATGTTTAATGTTTATAGGAGATTTGAATTTTCATTTGAGTAGGTACTCGGTATAATTTAATACTTATGACTGTATTTGATAATATTCTTATTTTCCACGCGTTATATATGCCTAACCGAAATCCACGAGTATATATAGTGTGACGAGTAACTTACGACTTATTTGTTGTTGTTGCAGTGTAATGTCATCGAAACGTAAATCGCCGCCGTCCAAGTTGCTGGATAACGCTACGAGCGCACCCGACACGACAACGACGGCTGAGACAACGGTTGCAACGAACGCGGTCGAAGAGAACGGTAGCGGCAGCAGTAGCGGCCACTCGGACGACGGTTACACTTGCGGTAACGGTACGGAAGTCGTCGACAACTGCAACGAAACGACCATGGAAACGGCCACGGCCACAGCGTCGGCCGTGCAGA